TTGACTTATAGTTGCCATGTTATTTACCTGTTGCCATTTACTGCTTTTTCTCCTGTGTTTATTTGCTTGCCCTATTTAGTTGGTTGACTCTGATCTCATTCGTGGAGTTCTGAGCATTTTGCTCCCTCTCTAGAACATCTATCAGTAGCCTGTGTAGAATTGGCTTTGTCATCATGAAGTTCCTTAGCTGTTCTTTGTCATGAAAGTATTTCACTTCTCCATCAAACTTGAAACAGAGTTTTGCAGCATATAGTAGTGTGGGCTGGAATTTGTGTTCAAGAGGACCTGAAGTACTCTGCTCCATGCTCTTCTTGCCTGCATAGTTTGTGAAGAGAAGTCGGCCGTAATTCTGATGGGTTTTCCTTTGAATGTGATCTGCTTCTTTTCTCTAGTGGCTTTCAGTAGATTATTCTTGTGCTGAATTTCTGGAATCTTGACTATTATATGTCTCGCTGTGTTTTTCATTGGATTGAGGTTACTTGGCGTTCTGTATGCTTCAGTTACCTGAATGTCAGATTGTTTCCTCCTATTTGGGAAGTTTTCTGCTATTCTGCCCATATTTTTTAAATGTCATTTGTGTTGACTCCTTCTTTCTCATTGATACCTATTAGTCTCACATTGTTCATCTTTGCATCATCTTGCAGGTGATGGATTATTCTTTCCTGCATCCTTGTTGTTATTAAGAGATCCTTTCTTACCTTTTCACTAGCTGTACCAGAATCTTGAAGATCTGAAACTCTGTCTTCACTTTCACTTAAACGGTTTTGCAAGCTTGTGATTGAGATTTTAATTTCCTCTATATCTCTTTGACTCTGCTTCATGCGATCTATTTCTTTCCTGTATTCCTCATTCAAGGAATCTGTCATTTTTCTAATCTTCTCTTTCTTTTTTATCAATGTCTTCTTTAGAATTAGTTATAAATTCTTTCACTGCAGTGTTTTGTGCAGGTTGGGTTTCCTCCCTATGTTTCTGTAGTTGCTTCTTTACTTCAGATGCTATGAATTCTGAGAATTCTTTTTTTTATTTCAGAAAAGAGTTGCACTCTTATTTCCTCTATATCTTTCTGCTGTTTTTTATGTAGTATCGACGCTATTAATTCATGCATTTGAGGAGAGCTAGTGTCCTCTGCACTTGTTCTGGGTGGGCACTGGTTTTCCTCTATATGTTTCTGCATTTGATTCCTTAGCATAGATGTTATTAATTCAGGGATTTCTTTTTTTATTTCCAATCTGAGTTCCTCTATACTTTTCTGCAGCTGTTTCTTTATTTCAGAAGCTGTTGATTCATTGCTTTCAGCTGTGTGATTCCCAATTTGTTCTGTGTTAGTGTCCTCTGCACTTTTTACACGTGGGGTTGGATTCTGAGGTTGCATTTTGTTCCTTCTCATCATTTTGTGTAGCACTGTCTTCTGACCTTTGTTGTAAATCTTCCTTGTAGTTATAACCTTAGCACGTACTGAAGTTCAGGTGCAGATCTACAAAGTCTGGATTTATCCAGCTGTGCCTGCCTTGGGTCTGGTTGCTGTGCTGTGCTCCTTCCTGCTGCTGCCCTTGAGGGTGAACCTATTGTGCCCCTGTAGCAAGATTTTCTGCTCCTGCACTAGCTGGGTCAGTCTATCCTCTACCCTCTCTGTAGAGATTGCAGCTGCTGGGTTACACCCCATGCCTGTATGCCAGGCCTGAGCTTAGCCTGGAGGTCACAAGTTGGAGTAGGGGAGAGAGGCAGCTCTCCCACACATTCACTGGGTCTGGGCTAGGACTGGGTCTGGGTGTTCCCCGAACGTGGCAGAAATTACTACTAAGTGGGCGGGGTGGAGGAGGTGCTGTGCAGTGGTGGGGGATGTTCCAAGGGGGTGGAAGAGAGTCTCACCCATGCTGCACCTGGGCTGGGATCAGGAGTCGGTCCCACAGGCGCAGGGTAGCCGGAAGCTCTCCCACACACTCACTGGACCTGGGCTATGACTGGGTCTCCAAATGCATTATTTTAAAAAGTAAAATAACAAATAATTTCAGTGAACAAGCTATTTATTCATCTCCATTGAAAGCAGAGATAAAAATTATGCTGAATAACTATTTACTACTTACTGCAGTTCAGTGCATTGTAGTTACTTCCCAAAATTTGCTCTAAATTTCAAAATCCTATGGTTATTCAAACCATTGGCAGGCTGGCAACAATTTTCTCTATATCAAAATTTAGAAAACTTGTTATTTACCTGCTGTTGTATACCTTTTTTTCTCCTGTGTTTAATTGTTTGCCTTATTTGGTGAATTCTTTTTGTTCTCTTTGGGGAGCTGTGGTCATTTTGGTCCCTCTCTAGAATATCTTTTAGTATTCTGTGTGGGGTTGGCTTTGTCATCATGGATTTCTTTAGTTGTTCTTTGTCATGGAATACACACACACACACACACACACACACACACACATACCATAATTAGGATATATACAGCTACTTTCTCTTAGTTCACTGAGAAGAAAGTTTTGTACTAATATTTAAACCTGCTATCATGTCTGCATCTTGTCCTCTGAATAACTACTACAAAGACAGCAGTATTCAATGCATTAATTATTGTAACTTTCCTACTAACCTGTTTTGAAACTGTTTCATTGCTATTTTATCTTTTCTTCTCATTAAAATGAATAAAATATAAAAAAATTAAAAACAATCTGATTCCTAAGAAACACTCATCATGAGATGAAGAAGTCCCTAGTGCCCCTGCCACTGTTGGTGTGAAGCCCCCTTCAGTTTAGGCTACAGCAGTGCTAACTCCTTATGCTGCCCAAACCAGGCACATATGATGAGATCCATCAAGTGAAATTATGGTCTCAGTACAATATTTACAAATCTTTGTATAATTTTTCATATTATTTTCTTGAGATGCACACAGTTTGATCTATCTTTTATGTAATTACCAACCTTCAATATTATCTACAATTTACCAGGGTTGGAAAGGAACATAATAAAATAGCAAAATTCTATGTCCATAAATAATAGAGATAAAAGCTAGTAGTGCTTTTAAGAGGAGTAAGAAGAACCCAAGATTTCAATACAGACATTGCTTTCATTATAACTTGAAGTCTCTCTATTCCAAAAGAAACTCATTCGAAGTCTATAATGTCTAGGATATACTAGACATGTTCCACTATGTGAAATGCGTGTATAAAAGTCTATAATGGGCTGACACTGAGGATCCTTTAAGACAGTAAGGAGTGAGAGTAATTCAGTAAAACAATAGTGATAGCATCAGACTTGTCAAATGTCATGGAACAATGGACTTATTTTTCTGAGATTTCTCACTGATATCAGAAAGAATACATTATGATCTTTTCATTTTGGCCAAGTCAGTTGTTAGCTCATACATGTAAAATGCTTTGACCTCAAAAGCACATTTTAAATTTTATTTATTTATTTGGTACAGGGTCTTGCTACACACCTCAGACTAGTGGTGATCCTACTGTCTCAGCCTCCCCAGTGCTGGGATTACAGGTGTGCACCACTAAGCCCAGTTCCTGGGCCAGCAAGTATATGGTACCAGGGATTGAACTCTGGTCCTTGTGCTTTCCAGGCAGGTGCTTAGACTGGTGAGCTATCTCCCCAGCCCCCAAATCCATATTAAGTGTTGGTGTTTATTGTAGGTGCCTGAGTGGATGAATCCAAATAAAAGTTTTCCACTTTGAAGTAAGTTTTGTGAAATGAAAAACATAGATTTGAAAATGCCCTTAAGATAAATAATGAGCATTGTTTATGGTTTAACATCTATCAATTATAGATTTAAAAAAAATGTATTTAGTACATGGTCTACAAGGTATCAGTACATAGATCGGATTCCTATTGATCCTCCTATTTTTAGCCTTCAAAGCGCTGGGATTATAGGCACGTGTCACCATACCCAGTCTCACCTGTTGTCTCAGCTCGTCCCAGGGGTGGGGCTGGCATAGCATGCTGTAGATCAAACCCTGGCCGCTGCACTTTGCCTATGCAGGAGCTTTGTCCGATGAACTGTCTGCCCACCCCTTATATCTATTAATTATAGTTATGCTAGATTATCAAGAACTGAGATTGCCCCAAATGGATAGAAACATCTAGCTTATTAAATCTTTACTTATATACATATTGCTACAATCTCTTATTCAAGATCCATTCCATATTTTTTAAAAATATATTTGGTTGTTGCAGAGTCTCACGATGCAGCTCAGACTTGTGATGATCCTCCTCCTTTCAGCTTCCCCAGTGCTGGGATTACAGGTGTGTGCCACTATGCCTGCACTCTATTTGGCCAATCCATCCTAGAGGCAAGGCTGGTGCAGCATGTGAAGCCAGGGATCGAACCATGATCCCTGTGCTTGCCTAAGCTTGCCTAAAGAGGCACTTTAGTCCATAGAGCTATCTCACTGCCCTATAATCCTTTTCACACTTTAAACCATAGTTTGATAGCCACTTTATAATTTGAGAACTAATAAAGTTCAATACCAGGTTTCTCTGGAACCAAAGGAAAAAATCTCCAAGTTATTTTTTCTGAGGAATATGTTATTAGAGCCAAGGAAGTTACAAAAACCGTATAAACTGATTATCAAATTATGGAATCACACTCTTGAATTTCACACATTGTCCATTCTAATGGCTAGATTAATTGAATGATAAAAAAGATACTGCCATAGAAACTACAAAAGAGTAAGTCATACATTTGAAAGGGAAGAAAAGAAGGTATGGTGTTTTCTAAATGTAGTTTTCCTTTAGAAAATCATAGTTTCATGAAAGCTAAAGTGTTCCAACACATACCTAGCACATTTTGTCAAACAGAAAAAGAGTCTGGATTAACCTAAAAAATAGTTTTTAAAGGTATAAATCCAGTATGAATTGACTCATTCTTGATTAAATGATTATTATTACTTTAAACTAGTGGGAGATACTACCTTTGCCCAGCTTCCTACTTGGCAGTAATCTTGAAGAAAAAGAAAGTACTGGATCTAAAGAAAATCTAAAGGAGAATTGCTCCTATTTCTTATTTCCCAGAAGGGTTAATCACTTGTACTAACACCTTCCGCAGGGCTAATTTCACATCCTTGTTTCTTAGGGAATAAATTAAAGGATTGAGGGAAGGAGTGATGACATTGTTTAACACCTGAACAGCAGCATCTAGCCAGAGGTTGGAAGCCGACTTGAGATAGACAAGAATCACAGGCCCATAGGCTAAGAGGATGGAGGTCAGGTGGGCACTGCAGGTGGAGAAGGCTCTGCGCCTGCCTTCTGAGGAGCGGATTTTCAATATGGAGAAAATAATGCGAATGTATGAAGTGAGGATGAGAATAAAGCACAAGAGTGCAACAACGCCCACGTTGGTGAAACTCACCATCTGTGCCATTGAAGTGTCTGCACAGGCCAGGGTCAACACCATTGGGATATCACAGAAAAAGCTGTGTACTTTGTTAGGGCCACAGTAGGGTAACCTGAAGGTGAGGAAGGTGAGGACACTGCCATGGAGGCAGCCCCCCAGCCAAGTGCCCACTGTCAGGCCAGTGCATACTGTGGGGTTCATGATGACCGTGTATCGCATAGGGTGACAAATGGCCACGAAGCGGTCATAGGCCATCACAGTGTACAGGAAACACTCAGTGCCTCCCAGAGTGTGGTAGAAGAAGACCTGAGAGGCACAGCCCTGGTAAGAGATGGTACGGCTTTGACCCACTAGCAAGACCATCATCTTGGGGGAATTCACAGAAGGGAAAAGCATATCAAACATCGACAGGTTTGCCAAGAAGAAATACATGGGGGTGTGGAGGTTGGGGGAAGCCAGAATGGTAAGGAAGATGATGAGATTGCCCAGCAAGGAGAAGGTATAGAAAGTGAGGAACACAACAAAGATCATGTTCTCCAGCCCTTGAGTATTAGGGATCCCCAAGAGGATGAACTCAGTCACAGACGTGTAGTTTCTCATGTTCATAGGGCAGACAGTCCTGGAAAAGCAATGCAATGACATGAGGATCAGAGAAACTGAGGATGTCTGCCTAACAAAGGGGCTCTGTCTATGAAAGGGAGCGGATATAAGCTAAAAAGGGGCCCTGAGGGGACGAGATCTGCAATACATCTGGCCATGAGTTCAAATCAAGAAATGGGTGATAAATCAACAGAATAATTCATTTTTATAATAAGAACTAATAAACTTTTTTTGGTATTGGGGATCAAACTCAGGACCTTGAGCTTGCTAGGCTTGTGCTTATGCCATTGAGCTATCTCCTGGCCCTATACTAATAAACTCTCATGGCCATCTTAATTGCATTTTTCCCAATGTGGTTCACCATCGAACAAGCTTTTATATCTCAGTGCTGTCTGTCTTCCCTAAGACAAAGGTGTTTACAGGTCCCATGTCACTTAACTATTAGATAAGGCATAGTTTGTTTATAAACAGACGGACTACTTAAATTTACACACATAAAATGTGAAATTAAGCAAATATGATGGGTATCTTTATACTATTTTTATTTTCAACAATCCTGTTTACAATCTTCATCATTTATATTCAAAAGACAGAATATTTTTCATGATTATAGCCCAGTAATACACTTGCAAAAATGGGTTGTGTCTAGAAGAAAGCATTGAACAGGTCATAGAAACAACCACAGCGTCCCACTAGAAATTCCCTGCTCCATTAAGCTTTATTACTATAAAAAACAATTGCAAATAGTATTGATAACACTGATACAATTCTGCTTTTTTAGTTAACGTTTGTACTCGATAAACCTCAGAAACAACCTGGACTATATTTTCTGAAGCTCAT